AGGTGTGTTTGCATGATGCTACCCTGAAACATCTCAGGGAAATTCCATTCTGGAGAATCCAGAACGGAATGTTTTTAAGTACAAGCCAGCACTCTGCATTGTTTAGTCACCTGTTGCTCTTTTGACCACCTAGTGCTGTGCAACAAACCCTGCAAAACACGAACACAGCTATTTTATTATCTCTTGTGGTTTCCTATGTTGACTGGATGTAGCTGGTGGCTCCTCTGCTGCCCCCATTTAGGTCCTACAGGTATTTGCAGTTCACTAGTGGCAGGGGCTTGAGTCATATGGAAGCTCACATGAGATGCTTGAACAGTGGGCCTCGCTAGCTCCCCCTGTATCCCCAGGGTCTGTCCCTGTATTCCCAGGGTCTGTCCCTGCTGCCCCAGGGTCTGTCCCTGCTGTCCCAGGGTCTGTCCCTGTATCCCCAGGGTCTGTCCCTGTATCCCCAGGGTCTGTCCTTGTATTCCCAGGGTCTGTCCCTGCTGCCCCAGGGCTTGTATTCCCAGAGTCTGTCACTGCTGCCACAGGGTCTGTCCCTGCTGCCCCAGGGTCTGTCCCTGTATCCCCAGGGTCTGTCCCTGTATCCCCAGGGTCTGTCCTTGTATTCCCAGGGTCTGTCCCTGCTGCCCCAGGGTCTGTCCTTGTATTCCCAGAGTCTGTCACTGCTGCCACAGGGTCTGTCCCTGCTGCCCCAGGGTCTGTCCCTATATTCCCAGGGTCTGTCCCTGCTGCCCCAGGGTCTGTCCCTGTATCCCCAGGGTCTGTCCCTGTATCCCCAGGGTCTGTCCCTGTATCCCCAGGGTCTGTCCCTGTATCCCCAGGGTCTGTCCCTGTATCCACACAGTCTTTCCCTGTTGCCTTAAGGTCTGTCCCTGCTGCCCCAGGGTCTGTCCCTGCTGCCCCAGGGTCTGTCCTGCTGCCCCATGGGTCGTCCTGCTGCCCAAGGTCTTTCTGCTGCCTAGGGTTTCTCTCCACAGCCCTTCCATCAGGGCTGCTGCTCTTCCTAAATGGCAGCCAGCTCCCAAGAATGTAACAACAGAAGCTTCCAGGCACAGAGGTGCTACGCTGTCTCACTTCCAAAACTCATTTTGATAAAATGAACCTAGGCAAACTCAGATGCCAAACGGGAGGGGCTTCACAGGGCCTGAACGTCAGGAAAGGTCCTATCCAGGGTCATCTTTGTGGGGCGTGAGTAGTTGCAGCTTGTTATCGCCTGGGTTTCAGGAAATGGCGATGGATCTAACTCCTGGGGGGCCAGGGTACACTTATGGGGAGATGAAGTAACAGGTACATCCGTGCGCGCATGGTGACCATCTTACGTACGCTACTGAGGCGCAGCATGGTCACTTGTGACTCAATGACACATCTTTACGATCAGAATGTAAAACAAGTAAGGAGAACAGAGGATTCTTGGAATATCCACTGTCACTTCTCGAAGCTTTTGGTTTTGAGTCACAGATGGTGGAAGACAGATAATTCTTATTAGGGTCATCTGTGGCAGGGATAATCTTTTTCTCTCATTGCTTTGTGAGACTTTGAAAGGGGCCCAGAGTGATTTGTTGTGGCTTTGTTGTTAAAGATTCCTCCCATTTTTAGCATGTATCTGATTGCCACACACAGGCGTTTAAGTCTGTCTGTGGATTGCAGATAAGGGTGAGATAGGTAACCGAGGACGGGATGAATTCTGTTTTATTTGTATACACTGCAGTCTCCCCTGCATAGAAACAGAAACCTACACAGTGTCCTTCTCAGGGACTGGATCTATTGAGAGAGCAACTGTACACACACATGCAGAGGAGAGTTCTAGAAGCCACACCGCGCCCTTCTCCCGTCTGCCTGAAGTGTGCGTGATGCATGGACACTTGCGTCAGTACTGAGAGTGACGAGACTCCATGTTTAAGGAAGTACTGGGATATCGTGTTTCTTTTAAATTTGTGTTGAAATGCTGGCTGGAACCAAATTATTAATAACGGTGGATATTCAGAAGTTTCCACTTGAAGGATGATCTGGTCTAATTGTCCCAGTGTATTTCATGCATTTGTGCTCTTTTTGCAGTCAGTAGATATTTACCGTGCACCTGCCAGTGGTCGGCCAGACACAGTGCTGGGTAGAGAAGAGGTGCGGACAGGACAGCTCTCAGGACGGCGGTGGCTGTCAGACGGAGCCTTGCAGAAGGAGCGAGCTGCTCAGGGGGTGGAGCCGCTCTGGAGGGCCAGCGAGCCCACGCGGCGTGGAGAGATTAACATGTGCTCCGGAGCAGGACTCAGCTCGCTTCTTTACCTGTAAAGGTCACGCAGGAAACAGCTGAGGCTTTGCTTTGAGGGCCACGTGGTCTCTGCTGCCGTGGCTCACCTCTGCTGCTAGCATGAAGGTAGCCACAGACAACGTGCGCATGGACACTGTTCTTGTATTACACCAAATCTGCATTTTGATAAAACAGGTGGTTGGCCAGGTTTGGCCCATGAACCATAGTCTGTGGATTCCTGGTCTAGAGAAGTCCTCAAACTTCGTGTGCTGAAAACCCCCCTGAGGCTTGTTAAAACAGCTCCTGACTCAGTGGGTCTGGAGCAGATGGGGCCTGAGAATGTGCATTTTTAGGAAGCTCCCAAGTGATGCTGCTGCTGTTGGCCAAGGAAAACACCATGTGAGACCCGGTGTCTAGGTGGCTAGGGACTCCTAGCGCACTCCACTCACATCAGCCCTTCTCCATAACTTAGTGCTGAGGCCAATTCTCTGAGCCGTGTAACTGCCGACAGTAACTGCCCGAGCTAGTTCTCAGTTCTGACTGCTGTACCCTGGTCCCTCCTCCCCTCTCTGCAGGGCTGCGGCTCCTGCTCACTGGCCTTCCTGCCCAGCGGGGCTGAAATGCCCTTCGACTGGTCCCACAACATACCGGGCAGGTGAGAGTGGGTTAAGCCACAATGTCCCTTCCCCTCTGGGTTCTGAACTGGTTGAGGAACAGTCACAGGAGACAGAAAGGAATCAAACATATCACTTTTAAGATAATAATAATTGCAAATACTTACGCCATGCTGATGAGAGCTAGGCATTCTTCTAAGGGCGTCACAGACGCATTTACACATCACAGCGACTGCAGGAATCAGATGCAGGTAAATTGTCCCCAATTTACCTACGCAGACACCAGGGCTGGGAGGGGTGAGTGACTCCATGGAGCAGACACGGTTATGGTTCCCATGTGGGTGCCCAGGCACAGAGAGGAGAGTGACTTGCTCAAGGCTACCCAGGTACAGCTGGGGGCCCTGCCTTGCAGAACGACATTGGATCTCATGGCCAAAATTTGCTCCCCTGACCTCTGCTCTCACCTACTGTGGCCCAACCAGAGCGGCCAGCAGAGGCAGGTCTCCCAGGCCGAGGCTGGGCGTGCCCTGAGGTCCCTGGGGCCACCTTTCTTAGGCGAGCAGCTCTGGGAGATTCCTGGTGACTGCATGACAGCACCAAGCACTGTGATGACTTTACTCCCAATCTGCCGCCTGGACAGGGCACCCTCCCTTGCTGGGGAGGAGGGAACAGGGCATGGAGAGTGAGGACCTCAGTCTTCCTGAGAAAGGAAGAGCGAGCTCTCTGCCTCTGTGAGCGTGGAAGGAAGGGGGTGATTAATATTCTGCTAGCGATGCTGGATAATTGACGGTTCCCATCAGGACCGGTTTCTTGAGAGAGAATCCTCCTCTTGCTTTTCTCTGCAGTCGGATGGCGGGAAAGGGAAGAACAGGCGACCCACAGCGACAGCAGGGGAATAACATCTATAGCCTTAGCCAGGGCCCCTCCCCTCCCGGGATCAGACTACCGCCCCGTTGCCCAGCGGGCGCTCGGAGTCCAGGCCAGAGAGAGACGTGTCATTCGGGAGGGAAGCGTCAGAATTTTAACTTCCACACGTGATTTCTGAATTTTGAGCTGGGCCCCAGAAACAGTGGTTCCCGACTATTTTCTCCTTATTTTATTTTCTTACAGACACCGGTATCCCTTACTCAGACAATCTATGCTCTGTCAGTTTTCATGGATTATGCCCTTAGGTGTCAGGTCGCAGAGTTGAACACGCTTTTAACACCGGACATTCACAACCCCGGCACCATGGAACAGCATCGAGCCAAACATCACTACAAGAGGTTTAAATGCTCAAGCTGTGAGGTCATAGGTTGACCCACGGGACAGCTGATCCAGGGTATCAGGCTACCTTTGGGCAGGGGGCCAGTTCACTGCCCCTCAGACCGTGGGAGGGCGGTTGGAGAGTGCGGCGCACATTCCACACATGCGCGCTGTGGGCCCGGGACGAGTCGGCTGCTAAGCAGGACAGGCAGCGGCGGCAAAAACACCCGGTGGGCGGAATCATGTCCTTGGCGGGACGCGTGTAGCCAGCGGGCTGTAGTTTGAGGACCCCTGCCTTTGGCACTCTGCTGAATATTTAGGAGTCACGCTTGTGCTATAAAATTTACTCATTGTCACTCTTCTGTGACACAGTTCAAAACACTCATGACCTGAAAGGCATTTGGCATTTTACAAGTGCTGAGTCTGACTTGGGAGACATATTTATTACGGGTCTTTCTTATGTAGTCATTGCCTGTGAGGATTTCAAAAGCAACGGCGATGACCCTCTTGCTGTGATGCTGTAGTGTGTTAGCACCCCGAGCCCCCGCTGAGCCTGGGGGCCCCTGTGAGGACAGGACTTCCCTGCTGCCGTGACCTGGACGCCTCCCTGCCACGTCTGACCTGATGGAGCTGTGAGTCCCCCAATGCCTGCAGTCCCGGCCCACCTGGGGGCCGTTTTGGAGGTGGTGGGTGGCGTCCCCCACCAGGGGTGTCCCCAGCCTCCTGGACATTCCCACCGCAGAGCTTCATTCCTAGGGCTTCCCACTGGCCTTTTCCTGTCCCTTGCTTGATGTCCAATTGGCTGTACTTTCTTCTCTGCACAGAGAGCTCACTCTGAGCTTCTCATTCCTGGATTGCGTCTGAGATGTATTTTTATTCTCCATTAGCTTCTTGTGCTCAGCTGGCGTTGTCCTGCGAGTGTTCTTTCAGTGATGTGTGACGGATACCACGGTTTTTCTTTTAAGTCATATTCAGTGTATGAAAGAGGCCCTTGTACAGACATCATCTCAGTGGACTCATTTGCTGAGAACGAGACATTCACTTTTGACACCGCCAGGGAAGTGTGTGCCACGTGTGCGATTGCACGAGTGTGCAACTGAGCCCAGACGGAGAGGAAGCAGGAGGAACAAGACTAGGATGCATGAGGACTTTGGAATTGGAGAGAGGTACTTCATAATTTCCTAAAAAAGAAAGTCTGGAGATTCAGTTTAAAAATAGCATGCCATATTAAAATGCTATTTACATAAACAGGCATAAAAAATAGCACAATGCTTTAAACACAGCGTGATTCTAACAGGAAAGGGCGTTTGGCAGTGTGAGCACGAGGAAAGGTCCAATATAACTGTGAGCTGCAAGGTTCTCTCCCATTTGTGCAAGGAATTCCCACCAACCACTGGAAAACCATGAGGGTAGGATTTTGGGTTGTTTGGTTATTTTTATTTGCTTGCTTTGCTTGTTTAGTGTGACGCAGAAAGTCTCAGTGTTCTGAGTCCTGTGTTCTACCAGGGGCCTGGGTAGAGCAAGCTCAAGCTAAAGGAGGCTTATCTAGAGGCATGAGAAAGGGGCTGGGTGACCCATGGAATGTTGGTGTACAGCGAGGGGCAGTAGAGGCTCAGACCAGGCCAGCTGAGAGCACCTGGGGCAGGACGCAGTTGGGGATCTGAAGACATCAAGGGGAAAGTAGGAGGGTGTACCAGTCTGTGCGGAGGCATAGAACCGATGGAAGATACACAAATATGTGTGTATATATATTTATATATCGATACACATAGCATATATATAAATTGATTTATTTATTATTAGGCATTAGCTAATGCAATATTGGAGACTGAGAAGTGTCACTATCTGGCATCTGTAAGCTGGGGACACAGGGAGGTATTGTTTGAAGGACTGAGCCACCGGTGTAGGTTCCGGACGGAATCTTTCTTAGCCAGAAGTGAAAAAAGAAATCCCTCCACGCCTCTGTTGGATGGGACACCTGTATGCTGACTTTCTAGGCCTCTGCAGGGCACCCGGTGTGGGCTCCATGTTCGAACGTGTTCAAAAGGGCTGGAGCCGCCCCCCTCCCTCCACCAGCAGGGCTCGGGTTCACTGGGAAGGAGAAAGTGTCCGTCTGTCCTTCTGGGACCAGCGGGTCTCATTGATAAGATCAGATCTGTCTGGGCACGCCCCCACTCCTGACAGCTTACAGAACTAACTTTGTCTTGGAAGGGTAGAGAGAGTTCATTTCTTCTAAGGAAAACTGCACAGCATTTTGAATTTCTGCGTGATTTTAAGAAGGGTGCAATTCTCTCCCAGTTCCCTTGATGACACACATTACAGGATCGATTATACACCATGCTGGCAATCTTGAAAAGAGCTGGGGAGAAAATTAAAAAAAAAAAAAACAAGAAAGAAAGAAAGTCTCCCATAACATGAACAAAATGATCTGCCGGCAGAGCTTGTCAGTTACTTTATGGTTTCTTTTGTTCATAAACAGGATATTATGCTTTATAAATCAGTTATGCCCTGCGTTTTAGGCATATATTAGAGTAAATCAGTGAATTTCACTGGAAAAAGCATTTTAATTGAACTTGGAAGCAAAGGAAGCATAGTTTGTAAGCCACAGTAGACCCGGCAGTCTTTCTGGGCACCAGGTGACACCATGCAATGTGTAACTAACTGCCTGGAGTCAAAAGCACTATGCAAATGCGGGTAATTTACCTAACAGAACAGTCACCCTTAGAACAAGGCCAACGCTTCCAAGCAGCAAGTGCGGCTGGGAGAAGACCTTCTGAAATGAATGCAAACCCACTTGCTCCCCCAAATTAGCCTCCTGCCTCAGCTCCGGAAGCTTCTTAATGGGCTGTGTACAATAACGCAATTACAGAGCAGCATAATGACCAGCGCTGGGCGCAGGGTGTAATGGGAGTGGTGCAAGGTGTCGCCGTAGCCCTTTCACAGGGAGTTCTTTATCTGTCACATGTGCCATTTGTAAGTGTCTATCGCCGGGTTTCAAGCCATTTACCACTTGCACATTTGCTAATTGTTCCTCATTCTCCCGTGTCTTTTAGCCTCAGACATTTCATATCCATCTGTTCAAACTGAAATCTCTCCCATCCAATTGAAAACCCCTCCAAATGATTTCCTAACGTCTCCTCCTAATTGCCACTCTAGAAACTCGACTATCCATTTGAAATATCTTTTTATCCTGGCTATCTGTAGGAAATATCTTTTTCTGACATTGTAGAAACCACCAGATGTAGTGATAATCATTGGGAGGAGGGGCTAAGTAACCACAGGCAGGAAACAGGAGGAAGTCTCCTCCTCTTCTTCTTCTCTTCTCTTCTCTTCTCTTCTCCTCTCCTCTCCTCTCCTCTCCTCTCCTCTCCTCTCCTCTCCTCTCCTCTCCTCTCCTCTCCTCTCCTCTCCTCTCCTCTCTCTCCTCTCCTCCTCTCCTCCTTCCCTTCCTCCCTTCCCTTCCCTTCCTCCTTCCTCCCTCCCTCCCTCCCCTCCCTCCCCTCCCCTCTCCTCTCCTCTCTTCTTCTCTTCTCTCCTTTCCTCCTCTCCCCTCCTCTCCCCTCCCCTCCCTTCTCTTCTCTCATTTCCTCCTCTCCCCTCCTCTCCCCTCCCCTCCCTTCTTCTCTTCTCTTCTCTTCTCTTCTCTTCTCTTCTCTTCTCTTCTCTTCTCTTCTCTTCTCTTCTCTTCTCTTCCCTTCCTTCCTTCCCTTCCCTTCCCTTCCTTCCCTTCCTTCCCTTCCTCCCTTCCCTTCCTTCCCTTCCCTTCTCTTCTCTTCTCTTTTCTTTTCTTCTTTCTTCTCCTTCTCTCTCTCTCTTTGTCTTTCTGTCTTTGTGTCCCTCTCTCTACAATTTTTTACCAAACGGCTGCTGTGTCTCAGAACCTGTTCTAAGCACTGAGGGTAAAGTAGTGAGTAAAAGAAAATAAATTTCTTCATAGAGCTTACATTTTTAAAGGGAAGAGAACACAATGAACATATATTACATATAGCATGCGTGTATATAGAATAAACACAGCTGTATGTGTGCATGTGAGTAGGCATGGACATACGTGTGCATGTAGAGGTGAGTGCAGACACAGACACAGACGTGGGTGTAGACAAACACGCGTGTGTGTGTGAGCCAGGCAGTGAGGAATGCTGTGGATGTGAGTGTCCACTGAAAATAACCAAAAAGTCAGAATCTAATTTAAACGTACTTTATTCAAGCACACAGTTTGAGGGTCCCCCCCCCCCAGAAACACCACCTGCACGGGTGGAGTCAGTTTGCCAATTAGGGAAGTCAAGGTTTCATTTATATCGGCAGAGACAGAGGGGTTGTTAGCAGAATTACAACATTTTTTTCTCATACAAGATTGTGAGTGTTTACAGCAATTTGCTGGGTTATAGGCGGTGTTTCTTTCCAGGACGGGTATATCTGACACGGTACACAGAGGGCGTCATGCTCAGCGCCTTTTTTGTCATGTGGCCTAAGCAAAGAAGGGCAGTGAAGGGGAAGTTAATCTATAACAAGAATCGTTCACTAAGGAGGCAGGAGGCCTTTGTTTCTGATGCTGTCGAATTCTCTCTGGTCACTGTACAGAACGAGAAAAACAAGAAACGAGTTAATCTATAATCTGAGAGACAGAGATGGTAACCGCATGTGGCTCAGATCTCAGTCACGTTTCTCCCAGGCTTAAAGCATTCGGGGTGTCCCAACAGCTTTCACATTTTGTTTGTTGTCACAGGAGCGAGGCTGGGAGGAGTGCGGGGAGCCGGGTGGGGGAGATGGCTCCACCTAGGGTGCTTGCGTGGCGGGACCAGAGAAGGAGGGCGGGTGCTACCCACCTTCGAGGACGGGAAGGAGGGCCTGGCCGGAGCCCAGCAGCCGGGGAAGGTGGCAAGTGCAGTCAGAGAGGCAGCAGGGCCCTACACCCAGATGTCCTATTTGAGTGTAAAGCTGGAAGTGCCTCAAAGAGCAAGAGTAAATCTTGTCTGCCACCAGATCCCTCCCTTCCAGGGCAGTTTGTGGCATTATAGATTAAATGGATGAATAAGTAAATGAATCACAATAGTCAAACCTCCATCACAGTCTAGAACTAGGTGTTTAATATCAAAACCCTTCAAAAATCAATATATTCAGGACATTTGGATTCTTAGATGAGTAGGGCTACCGTTTTTCCTCCTTTGCCCTGAGGCCTCCAAAAGAGGACTTCAGCTTCTCCCGGGGGGGTGGTGGGAATCGTGGGAGGTGAGCTGGACTGGACTCTGCACTCGAAGCTGTCTCTGGTGGCCGTGGGAAGAACTGACGTCAGGGGTGGGCGATACATGCAGGGAACCTGGCAGGAACCAGGCTGAATGGACACGCAGGTGGGGAGGGATGGGGGCCTGGGACAGGGAGGGGTGATGGAGCAGCAGCAATTGGATAGCACTTCTGGAAATGAATACCTGGGTTGGCAGGGGGGAGAGAGAGAGAGACAGAGAGAGAGACAGAGAGAGAGACAGAGAGAGAGACAGAGAAACACGAGAGTGAAGGACACTTCAGGGTTTTCAAATCCACAAAGGGGATTAGCTTTACTGATAGAAAACTTCAAGAAGATCAACTTAGGAGTGAGAGGGTGTGCAAAGGGGAAATCGTTCAGTTTGGGACAATTTAAGTTTGAGTGTCTACTAGGCAGCTGACACTGAGGTTCCGAGGAAGAGTGCGATGAACATGGAGATGGTGTCCAAAGCCAGGGGGTAGCAAGCATCCGTAGCGGGAGTGAGTATGGACGGACGCTTTTCTGAACCAACCCGTTATGATTTTCCGCTACAACAGCTATCCCCCTTCTTAGGTTCCAGTGAGGCCTAGAAAGGATTCCCCCAGCGCTGTTCCTGTGCACGTGAAGTCCTACTCCTGCGCTCAGCACACAAACGTGAGTAGCGAGTCCTGGATTCAGGAAGTTACTACACTCAAAGGAGCCAACTGGAAAACAACACAAATCAACAAGGAAGTGAAATACTTTTGGCCTTAGATTCTTGGTATTTTAGGAGTGGGGTTTAAAATAACTTATGGAAAGAAGGTTTTATGGGAGCTCAGCCTTGAGGGGCAGAGGAACAAGGCTTCCAGAGAGGTGTGGGGTGGGCTGTAGGGTGGGGGTGGGTGGGGACTTGGGCAGCACGAGGCCTGGCTCCGGCACCGGGAAGTGTGGGGGGCTGGGAGACTCCAGAGGCCAGTTCCCGACCGAAGGGTCTTCTTGACCTGAAAAGCTGGAGTTTGGGAGGACTCAGCACGCTCTGCTTAGGAGTGTGTGTGTGTGAGGGTGTACGAGGAGCTTAACTTGGAGTCCGGGTGTGAAAGGACTGAGGGGAGCGGGGCCAGGGGAGCAGAGTGCTCCCCCATTCGGCACTGTTATTGGCAGGAGAGCCAGTGTGGGCAGATCACACCCGAGTAGAGATTTGTAGTGCTTTCAATCCTGTTAAACACAAATTTGCAAATGCCTTTAATTCCAACCTTATCAGCATACTGGAGACGATAATTATCCCCACCTTGTTGGGATTTTGTAAGGATTAAACAGGACTAATCATGCCATGAACAGTGTGCCTAGCACATGTCACCTTTACTAGCAACAGAAATGATTCCAATATCGACAATGACAGCACATATTACTGCATTATTGGGCACCATGGAACTTTCAAAATGAGATTCATTTTGATTCAAAGCAATGTGCTAAGAAAATTCAGCAGCACATTTTTGGGTATGGAGGACAGACTAAGTGAGGTACTTGACATCAGGGATATGAGGCCGTGGTAGAAATTCTGCCTTAGGTGGTGAAAGAGGAGGTTCCAATGGCCCTAGATATTTTTATATCTGCCTTTTTGGAGGGGAGGGAGGATGAGGAGTACAGGTAATTCTGTTTAGGGGCAATAAGCATTGCTAGGGAGGATGAATGAATGGATGGGCAGAAACAGATTGGCTTGTAAATTTACCTGAGAGACAGGTATTATGTTTAAAATCATTTGGGCCAGGTCTGGTTGCATTCTTGATCATGTTTTCCCCACAATATATTGAAATAACAGGGAGGGAAACTGATAGGACAGCCTTGTTGAAAAACTATCTAACAGAGAAAAATAAGCTAACAGGAAAAAAAAGGAGAAAACTCACAGCACATAATTGCCACTTTGAAGAGAATGATCATAATACACAACAGCCTCTTGAAAGATTATTTTTGGCCTAACTCATTGTTTCTGAAAGTTTGTTTTTCACAGCACTTGAAAAGAACTGAGCAGGTAGAAGGAGCGTGGACCCCAGTTCCTGCCAGACCAGATTCCAAGGTCCCTGACAAGCCAGCCTCACAGGGAACAGGGGGAAAAAAGGGGGGTGGGGTGGGAAACAGACCCGGCTGCTTTTTGCTAGGAGTTAAAGCCCCATAAAGCCCCAAACCCCTTTTCCTCCCTGCCAACACTTCCCCTTTCTTTCTCTTGTGTTGTGCCCTTCCGCCTTTTGGAAATAAAATAAACTTTCTTTCTTTAAAACTACTCTAATCTTTGTGTTGAGAATTCTTTCTCATTCCGCGTTACTGGTTCCTACCCTAGCAGGAGGGAAAGTCCACTGTTCTTTTTCAAGGACCTGGTAATCTCTAAGGGCCTTAATTCGAAATACCAGGGAGTCATATTTTGGGGTGAAATTTCCTGAGCTCCATCAGCCCACAGGTAGTGAGTGTCAGAACCTGCCGCTAAACCTGCTGTCCTCCCCACCCCACAGCCTGAGCTCCTTTGCCTGAGGAACCTGCTTCTTGCTCCTCCGGGAAAACCTCACTGACACGATCCTGCACATGTGCCGTGCCTCTGCGGGGCTGGGTTTCTGTGGCTGTTTGAGGCTCCTGAAGCCCTGGGCTTCCATTTAGCAACTTTCCCGGAGGTATCTGTGAGGCTGCCGTTGCAGTGTTTTGCTCCCATTGTAGTCTTTTGAAGAGAATGATTTCCAATAAACATGATAAATTAGCAACATATATCAAAATTCTTATAATGTAATTATGCTATTTCTATAGTTATTAGGTCGTTATTAAAACACTTAGGTAATAAGTTTTAATTACACTATAAAAGTATTATAGCCCAATTTATAATAGGACTTAAAATTTGACGCTTTGCATATAATTTAGTTTATTTCTCATTTCCCCCTGTTACACCAACCTCTATGTGGTTCTTTCTGGACTTCCTTGGTTTCCAGCCCACAACAGGAGCCCTGAGCCTCTGAGCCTCTAAAAGTCCAGGCGTATTTGCCCAGCCCTGGCAGACTTGAGCCATTCAGGTACCCTGGGTGCTGCCGGTTCCTTCTGCCTGGGGTGGTCTTTGCAGAGACGTCTTCCTCTTTCTCTCCCTCGCCCCTTAGAGTTTGCTCAAATCTGGATTTGTGGAGATGCCTTTCCCTGAACACCTATTTAAAAATATTCCTCTCACCAGCTTTGCCCATCTTTCTTCTCAGATTTATCTTTCTCCATAGCCTTATTACCATCAGATATACCAAATATCTTCCATATTTAAAACAAAATAATTTATTGAAATTCATGTAATAAAATTAACCATTTTAAAGTGAAAACTTCAGTAGCATTTAGCACATTCACGATGTCATGCAACCACCACCTTTATCTAGCTCCAAAACACTCCTGTCACTCAAAGTCAAATCGTTTCCCACTAAGCCGCTTGTGTCCATTCCCCCTTCCTCTTCCCTGCAGCCCCTGGCTACCTCCAGTCTGCACTCTGTCTCTTTTGATTTATCAGTTCTGTATATTCCACATAAATGAAATTATACACTATGTTACTTTTGCTTTCTGGCTTCTTTTACTTAGCATAATGTTTTTGAGGGCCATCTACATTGTAGCACGTGCCAGTGCCTCATTCCTTTACAAGGCTGAATAATGCATTGTGTGTGTATACCGGAATTTGTTCATTGATTTATCTCTCGCTGGACAGTGGGCTGTTTCTACCTTTTGGCTATGGTGACGAGTGCTGCTGTAAACGTGCATGTACTTGTACTTGTTTGGGTTTTCAACTTCCTTGGGTATGTGCCTAGACTTGTGATTGCAAAGTCTCTGCCCATCAGTGCTCTTCTTCTCTCAGGTTACCCTTGCTCCTCTTGCATCAGAAAAGCAAAATGTGGCTCTTGTCCCAAAGATCTGGCGGCAGAAATGGTGACTCATCCATTTGTTCTAATTGCCTTGATCTATGTCACATTTCACTTAAGGGGTCCCAGCTCAATTTAAGAAGACAGCAGGGATCAATACACTTAGTCATCTACAAAACTTCCTCCTGGGATTATTTAGAGAAGCCCTTTGAAGTGTGCACTCGAACCCATTATCAGTGACATCCTTTTAACATTAGTATCTTCTAAGGAGAGGGAAGGATTCTCAAATAATGTTAAGAAATAGAAAATTGCAAGATTAAAAAAAACACAAGCTTGTAAATGGCACAATAATTCAATTTACTTATTTTATCTAACTCATCAGTGGCAAAACTAGATATTGGGATTTCCAGGCAAAATTTTGCTTGGTTCAGCTATCAGTGGAAGCAAGTTTTGGAAAAAACATAATTTGGGAAATATTAAGAGAAATTTTAGCGATCACTAGGCATTTTGGATAACTAACATTGGGAAATCACTTTGTTTTTAATATCTGACATATAGCATGCAGTATTAATACCTGCCATGTCGTGCGCAAAGGTTAAATGAGGTGCCAGGTGAGTGGATTACAACCCTGACTGCCATGGAGTCACCTGGGAGCTTTCACCAGGTGAAACCTGCGTCTCACCCCTAGATATTTTGCTTTAATTTAATAACTCATAGGAGTACGGCTGGCCATTTACATTTTTAAAAGTCTCCCTCCTCCCCCTTATAGTCCCCTTTGTAGGGGACTATAACACGTGGTTAGCATTGAGCACCACTGTCCTAGACTATCCCAGAAGTTCTTTAAAAAAAAAAAAAAGATGATTTATGTGATGCTAAGTTTGCAGCATGAAAGGTGAATTTTATATAAACATGTTTGATAGCTCCTAAAAATGTATTTCGATGGCCTGTGTCTTAAATGCACCTTCATTTTGTTTAGGATGATTGGAGCATCTAGAACTTCACATCCCAAAATGGGCACCATAGCCCAGCAGCATTCCATCACCTGGGAGCTCTTCAGAGATGCAGCATCTGGACTAACAGGTGGACCCGATGGTGACGGTGCAGCCCAGGTACAGGGATCACCGACGGCCTCAGGTGCAGCCCAGGTACAGGGATCACCGACGGCCTCAGGTGCAGCCCAGGTACAGGGATCACCGACGGCCTCAGGGGCAGCCCAGGTACAGGGATCACTGACGGCCTCAGGGGCAGGAGTGCTTGGGCCACAGATGGACAGCGCAGGTTTGGGGGGACGTTGAGGCGGTTCTATACTTAGATCTCCTTGCCATGATCATGCCAAGAATGTGGCAGAGTACAACAAACAAATGGAGAGTGTGGATGGTGTTTCAAAACACGGCTACAAGACTTTGGTCAACGAAAAGCAGGTGCTCATTGTGCAGGTCTCAGGCAAAAAACCGGGATTTGGACAAAGTTGCCCCTGACCTACCCAGGACATAGACGGGCTACCTTTTGTCCTACTGTACCCCTGTTCCCTGCAGATGGCAGCTGAGAAAACTATCAAAGTTTAAGCAAAATGTCTCTAATTCTTTATCTTCCAAAAAGCAATGGATGCCATCCCAAGCTGGGCTGAATTCAGCAGAATAATTCATTTTCTTGTTTTATTCATTGACTGATGATATATGGAGAAGGACTGCGGGGTGGCCCTAGTGAACGGTAAAGGATTTGGCAAGCAGTAAATGTTGAGTAAATCTGGAAAACTGGCACTTTGCCTTTTCTTCACATAGAATTATGCCAATGAGCCACTGACTCTCAACAAGCCCTGGGGGGTTTAGCTGGGGTGTGTATCAGAATTTCATGCAGACTTACACAGTGTTTAGATGCCGTGTGTGACACTGTGTCAATTACCTTTGTTGAAAGAGAAGAAACAAAATGTAGAAGAGGACTCAGCTTGATCTGTGCACCGGTCACACATTTGATAAATAATAATTGGTCAAATGACCTCAGTAGAAATTGGTAATTAACCACAGCTACTCACAGGCACCACGCCCAGGGCAGCATATAGGATTGAGAGGATCTATAGAAATGATTTTTTAACACAGACGGTTATTAAGGACCAGAATGAATTATTAATCAAGCTTTGTTGGAAGTCTTTAGAAGGAGAATGGATTTTAATTTGCCTGGAACATTTTGTTGGGACTCTTCCCGAAGGCAGCAGGGTAGCTGTGATGTAATTAAGCGTGCTCGGATCGGAGCCTTTGCATTTCGGAATTTCTGTCATGAAACTGAATTAGCAAAAAGGCTGTGTGCAAATATGCAGGAAATACAAGGAGGAGGTGATGGGACATCTCAGTGGCTGTGTGGGTTTGGCTGGGGGCTGTGACATGGGGAAAGACTGATGAAAAGTGTCACCAATCCATTCCCTGCAATATTGCCAGCAGGGCACGCTCCCGACCTTTCCTTCTCTGTGGGAGGAAAGAGTGCAGAAAATGGGGAAGAAGATGATAGGAAGGGAGAGGAAAAGAATGTAGGGAGGAGGAGGAAAGAAGGAGGAAAGAAAGAAGGAAAGACAGGTGGGAAATGGAAACTAATATTTATTGAGCATTTACTACGTAGCAAGCGTGTTTGCATTTGTCATGTGTGGGATGTGCCTTTGGGGCACTGTCCCCTTTGCACGGACAAGGAGACAGAGGCCCAGGCTCCAACACCTGCAGGTGTAAGGTGCCTTTACCCTGATGGTGGTGGGGACCATTTCCTGTCCGTAGCACCAGTGGCCACCCCACTTCTGCTGGTGAGGATGCTTCTCCCCTCTCTCATGAGGGGGTGAGGGCCATTGGATGCGACCTCCTGCAGAGCCCCTTCTCCATCCCATGTGCTCTCCTCCCTCCTCTCTGCTCGCTGCCAGGGCAACCACTCTGCTGGGCCCTCCCCTCCCCCACGCCTCCCCGTCCTCCCTCCTCCCCGCCTTCCTCTCCTTGTCTTCACTGTCGCTGCTTCACCTTCAGCTCTTGCTGTCATCTCCCTTTTCTTAGCAGGTTTCCCCATGAAATGCTCTTTTTCACAAATGTCCACGGAATCCCTTCTGTTGCTTTTATTACCTAATTCCTAAAAGAAACAGTCAAACTCTGACTCCCAGAGTGAATCTTCCCTCTCCACCCACTCGCCTTGGCTTCCCTGCAACCAGGCTTCCACCCTGGCCGCCCCCAAATCCCTCTCAGAAGTTCCCAGCAGGGCACTCATTTCGTCCCACCTTGTCCCCTCTCCCGCTGTTGACATGGTTGACCAATTTCTCCTCGAACCCTGCCTGTTGGCTCATGTGATTATGGTGTTCAT